CGCAGCACTGACACAGCCCAGAGGCAGCGCAAGTGCGGAGGGCAAAGACAGCTACCAAGTTAAATTCTATAGGTTGTAAACACAATGCATATCCAGCAAAAATAACTGTAAAAGTGATGAAATGAATAGGTTTTTCTAACTTGTAAAACAGAAAGCTGGAGCTAGCAGACCTGTGGTAGCAGGCACATCTTTGGCTTTCTGGAGGTTTCTGACACAGGACTTGGAAGAGCTTAGGAAAGGGGTGTTAACACAGACTGCTTGGCTTCCCTGCAGGGATTCCTGTAACTCCACATGGGGGAAGGGCAGGGGTTAGAGAATCAAGGGACGGAAGGAGGAGGGGTGGTGGGAAGATGCAGCCTGCAGTCTGTGCTCCTGGTTTCTAGATCCACTCGCTCAGGCCGCAGTGTTCTGATGCCCAAGAGAAGGTCCCCATCCTATTACTCGGGCACAAAGACGCTGCTGCTTCCGTTGTCACCATTCCTTCCTCTCTATTGGACAAGCTTCATACAAACATTCTGCCACTTCATTCCTTACTGGCACTGAATTACCACTCCACAAGCTCTCCACCTACTTCTCTGAGAGCACATGCCATCCACAGCTCTAACAGGCTGAAAACGCCTGTTCTTTCGATGCTACTATGCTTGGATAAAGTGCACACATTCACCTCTAACTCTAACTTAGGCTGCCAAAAAGGTCACTTCATAAGGAAGCATTTAAACTTTTTTCAAATTTTATCTCATAGGAAGGGAATTGTTAATTAGGCAGCAATAGGTGAGCAATTCTGAAAAAAATTAAACAGAAGTGTTTTACAAACCTGACTTAGAACAAACACTGCAATAGTATGGGGTACGGGAGAAACTTGTTAATAGGTCAATGTCTTAAAAGCTTGGAGTGCACACAAAGTTAATAGAGAATTTCTTCTTTAATCTACTAGTCTTAAGTCTTCTGGCAAATAAACCCAGCACTTCCATTTAGGATTAACTGGACAGCTTTTCTTTTCTTCCCAGGAATTTCCTCTACTGTCATTTAAAATACTCTTCTTTGCATTAACCCAAACATATATGGTCAACTAATATTCGATAAAGGGGCCATGGACATACAATGGGGAAAGGACAGTCTCTTCAACAGATGGTGCTGGCAAAACTGGACAGCTACATGTAAGATAATGAAGCTGGATCGCTGTCTAACCCCACACACAAAACTAAATTCGGAATGGATCAAAGACTTGAATGTAAGTCATGAAACCATAAAACTCTTAGAAAAAAACATAGGCAAAAATCTCTTAGACATAAATATGAGTGACTTCTTCTTGAACATATCTCCCCGGGCAAGGGAAACAAAAGCAAAAATGAACAAGTGGGACTATATCAAGCTGAAAAGCTTCTGTACAGCAAAGGCCACCATCAATAGAACAAAAAGGTACCCTACAGCATGGGAGAATATATTCATAAATGACAGATCCGATAAAGGGTTGACATCCAAAATATATAAAGAGCTCATACACCTCAACAAACAAAAAAGCAAATAATCCAATTAAAAAATGGGCAGAGGAGCTGAATAGACAGTTCTCTAAAGAAGAAATTCAGATGGTCAACAGACACATGAAAAGATGCTCCACATCGCTAATCATCAGAGAAATGCAAATTAAAACCACAATGAGATATCACCTCACACAAGTAAGGATGG